GAACAGGAAAACTTGCATAAGTTCTCTCCGGCCAGAACACAGCCTCTTCACCATCAACACTCCTACAGTGCCTCCTTGTGCCTACACGTGGCAGGTGCCCTTGGGCCTAGGCTAGATCAGCAGGGGATCTCGGAGCAGCAGTGGGCACCAGAGGGACAGCGCATAGGCCCACTGGCATGTGGACACGTCCTGGCACCAACCAACCACTGCCCCGCTGCCTGAAAATTAACTTTGGTACGTATAAGGCTACGGGAATGAACCCGAAAGAAAAATATGCGGTAGAGCCCCCGCATCAGGTAGACTTGCTTACAGAGATCCAACAAAACCCCAACGGCGGTATAGGCGGAAGAAGTGATCACCATGGGAACCCAACGACTACACCGGCGGACGAATGCAATGCATGATGGAGAGGCTACTACGGCAAAACCCCCAAAATTGGGCTATCGGCAGTCCCTTGCAACGCTCCCTCTCTTCAATCGTTGCAACACTTGCACCATTGGATGAAGAAAACAGAGAGCCGAAATGTGTGGTTGCAGCCTGCGCTCATGCCTCACCACATAAATCAACTCACGTGCAGGCATCATCCAGCTCATCATACTTCTCATCATCATCAAAACACCTATACCCTCAAAAGTCCTAATGCGTCTAATGAGTGACGACGGGGACAGTCATATATGACTGCCAGGAGTCTCTAGTTACAGCTCTGCACATGGGCGGCACAGATAAGATGGTACTTTATGCGCTGGGATATAGGCAGCAGTGCGATCAGGCCCTGTCTCTGTGAATGAGCAACCCTTTCGAAAAGCCACTCTGCTCACCCCACATGGAGAGGGGGCTAGAAAAGGTGCCCTAAACATAGTCTGCCTAAAGAAACAACCTGACTGGGCAACCGCACCCAGTAAGGTTATGCCGTCGAAACCACAATCATAATCACAGATATGATATATATATATATATATATATATATATATATATATATATATATATATATATATATATATATATATATATATATATATATATATATATATATATATATATATATATATATATATATATATATAGTGTTACGACCGTGTCGAACTTTTTTCTATTTTTTTATATATAACATGCTCCCATGTTCCATATTATTCCTGTAATGATGTGTTAAATTTACTATTATATATTCTAGTCACCTTACCCTGTGCTGTTAAGGTTTTAACTGTCATTATTTGTTCAAGCCCATCTTATTTCTTTATTTTGTATTGTAACCAGCATTCTTTGTTCTCTAACGACCATCTGCATCGTTAAACGACCCACCGGCGGGTCGCGTGGCGGGAGCCGACCTTATATATAGGACCCACCAACTGACTTGAGTTAGTTCAGTCCTCTTGTCATACAGTACACATCCTTTGTGTGTCACTTGTTACTTAAACTTAATTTATTTGTGTTGTTCCTGTCGCCACCAATGTGGTATATCTATGTGAGTACCTATTTATGTCTCTGTTTGTGTCCATCAGTATTTGCTTAGTTGTATTCAAGTAATTCAGTGTTGTTTCACGTTAGTTAATTTCAGTGATAGTTTTTATATGTTTATGCAGTGTTAACGTAATCCAATGCTTTATTTTTATTATTTTGATGTTTCGATGTTTTGTATCACTTGTCTTAAAAGTTTCGATGGTGAATCAATTTGTTGTGACAGCCTACGAGGCTCTTTATTGTGTTAATATTTAATCAATTAAATTCTTAAAGGTTTACTTTATTTATTTTTATTCTTTTAATTTACTTCACTTTTTGTTTGGTTACGCCTAGAACCTGGATATTTAAGTAAATTAAGAGACGGCGTAACAATAGCTGATAACCACAAGGAAACAAGAAAACACGAAGTTTCCAAGAGCTTTCGTGTAATTCACATCTTCAGGGGTGAGTACAGAGTAAGGAGAAATACTTGACAAGGCTAATATATACAGTAGAGGAGAGCGAGATTAAGTCCCTAGGGGACAGCAGGGGTCCACAATGTTCCGGTCATAAGGCAGTGACCCTTACTAATCTTCATAATAAAAAAAAAAAATAATAATATTAAATTTTTTACCGTGCCATCTCTAAGTACTGCAGCTGTCCGTAGTTAGGTCAGAGGGTAAGATGACTCAACCTTCTCACCTGGTTACAAATCTTCTTAATCACAACATTATCCAGTTTGTACATACCATTACTCAAATTCATTCGGCATGATAAATGAGACTGGATTCTATAATGTTCCTACTCACAATTGAATTACAAGGTAATATTGAGGAGGCATTATCCCAGGCAATGAAGGAACAGAGCACTGGATTCCTGACCTGTCCTAACACTAGATTTATGCTGTTTAAGTCCAGTTATAAGATCTTTACCCGCCTGGCCTAAGTAGAACATATTACATTCCTTGCAAGGAACCTTGTAAATGCAGCCGCCTGCATTGTTGGGGGAGTTCTTAATAAACATTTGTTTTACAGTGCATGAGTTTTTAAATGTCACATTAACATTCCAGGTTTTCAGTTGTATAGGAATTTGAGAGAAATTTTGTTAAATGCTGTCCCCTAGGGACTTGATCTCACTCTCCTCCACTGTATATAGTAGCCTTGTCAAGTATTTCTCCTTAGTCTGTACTCACCCTTGTGTGCTTGTTTTCCTGTGACACATACAAATTATAGTTTACAGTTGATTGCACGGGCTGGTCTCTTGCCCTATTGTGTGAGGTCACGTGGGCCACGTGGTGCAGTAACTAGTCCATAGATGTTAACATGAAGGACCGCATGTTGCCATGGAAACACGGGATGGTGTTGTGCTCACGTGGTGTAGTAATTCACCTGCAGATGTTGACATGAAGGACCTTATGTGGTCATGGAGACACCGGGTGGTGTGGTGTTCACGTCGTGTAGTAATTCGTCCATAGGTGTTGACATTAATTCGTCGTGGAGACACTGTGTGATATGGGGTGGTGTCACAGTACCTCATTCTCTTATGGTCAGGTGTAAAGCCGACCCACAGTTGTTCCCAGGGTGGACTTTTTAACATCGCCTAGTCAGAAGATAGAGGTTGGTTCCCTTATTTCTGGGTGTGGAACTCACTGGTGGGTCACAGCTCTCGCTGGTACTGTCTAATGCTGAATTCACTGGCTTAAACACTGCTCATCACTGTTCAACACTGATCCCATTTCTTTTCGAAACGAAATTGTCACTTTCGGAGGGATACTGTTGATATCCCGATGGTGAGGATGGTTCCAGGAGAGGGACTTGTGGAATGGGCCGAACATTGGCCAGGGGCACCTCCTCAGCAGGAGCGGGCGCCCGACATGTCTTGACCCTCCGGTGGTCAAGGATGTAGTGTGTGTGTGTGTGTGTGTGTGTGTGTGTTTCAATAAACGGAAATGTAGGTTTATAGAGGCTATTACAGTAAGAAGTCATTTCCTAAAACGAAGAAAGATGTATTGCAGATTATCTCAAAGTGTACTGAGAGACGAATTGGCTGAGCGAACCTAAGAGGTTACTTTGTTATATGCAAATAGTTTTACCTTAAAACGGTTTACAATGAAAATAGTATGTAAAAATAGATAAAACTGAACGCGACATGATACACCCCCAGATTAATTTTCTTCCCTCTGTCAATATTGCAATGCTAATTCAACGTCATGCTGCCTGTTTCATCGATTGGATTCCTATATATGGTACCTCGTGTTTCATACCAGCTGGATTCGGTAAAATGCTACTGACACCACATAGCGGGAAGGGCAGTTCCCAATGAGGTTCACGGTGCCATCAGCTCGAAGAACAGGCTTTGTGTGAAATATAACTGAGCCTACGACTGCTTTTAGTGTCCTTGTGGGTTGGTCGGTAGCATTCCCTAGTCCCACCCAGGAGGTCGAGGGTTCGATTCCTGGCTGGTGAGGTCGTTGATTATAATATATCTATATATATATATATATATAAAACAAAGAAGTATGTGTGTTTGTGTGTCCGCACGAGAATCTCGGAACCTACTTTACCGATCTGTAGTGATGATGGATAGTGTTATATGTAGTGATGATGATGCATGGTGTTATATGTAGAGATGATGGGTGGTGTTATATGTAGTGATGATGGATGGTGTTATATGTAGTGATGATGGATGGTGTTATATAAAGTGATGATGGATGATGTTATATGTAGTGATGATGGATGGTGTTATATGTAGTGATGATGGATGACGTTATATGTAATGATGATGGATGTTGTTATATGTAGAGATGATGGGTGGTGTTATATGTCGTGATGATGGTTGGTGTTATATGTAGTGATGATGGATGGTGTTATATAAAGTGATGATGGATGATGTTATATGTAGTGATGATGGATGGTGTAATATGTAGTGATGATGGGTGGTGTTATATGTAGTGATGGTGGATGGTGTTATGTGTAGTCATGATGGGTGGTGTTATATGTAGTGATGATAGATGATGTTATATGTAGTGATGATGGGTGGTGTTATATGTAGTGATGATAGATGATGTTATATGTAGTGATGATGGGTGGTGTTATATATAGTGATGATTAGACAATAAAATAATAACAGTTTAATGCTAAAAAAAATTTACTTTGCTGTACCGTTGTAGTGAAAAACATGGTGGAACTTACAGTACATGCACCGTTAATGATCTATTGATGGAAGAAGAAGTTTTGGGGACTGAACAGTGAGACAAGACAATGTGGAGCCTCACTGAGGGTGGAGTCCTACCGTTGCCTAGCGGATGAGCCGCCCGGAGGGCGGCGATTCTGCTAGTATATATATATATATATATATATATATATATATATATATATATATATATATATGTATATATGTGTGTGTTTAAAAACTTCATTTAAACACCTTTGTATACATCAATACTTCCTGTATAATTATGTATATGTTAGTTACGCCCATTAAAACATCTTTACATTTCAAAACCGTCTCATTCTTCCTTCATCAAATGAATCACAAATGATTTAAAGTGTTTTTCTCACCAGGACACTCACACGACGATGGAATGTCATGGCTCTATCTTGCTCTCACGACGCCACTTCATGCTCACTCCTGCCGTACTTCTGGCTCTTTTCCACCTGAGTGTGGCAGGTGAGTGTCTCTCGTTGTCCTCTGACTGATACAGGTATGGTGTTGAAATTGCTTTGTTTTCGTGTGTGTGTGTGTGTGTGTGTGTGTATCAGGAAAAGGGAGAGCCAAGATGTGTGGCTTCAGCCTGGGCTCCTGCCTCACCATATAAATCAACTCACGCGCAGCCATCATCCACCTCATCATACTTCTCATCATCATCAAAACCCCTATACCCCCCAAAAGTCTTATGGCAACGGACGAGTGGCGACGGGGACAGGCAGAGATGATTGCCGGGAGTCTCTAGTCACAACTCTGCGCATGGGCGGCACAAATAAGATGGTCGTTTATGCACTGGGATCTAGGAAGCAGTGCAATCCGGTCCTGTCTGCGACTGAGCAGCCATTTCGAAAAGCCATTCGAAAAGGTAAACATAGCCTGCCTAAAAACCCAACCTGACTGGGCAACCGCTCCCAGTAAGGTCATCATTATGCGGTATAAAACACAATCAAAATCACAGATCCAAAAAAAAATAAACCATGCAACCTCTTATGGTCATTGCATGGAATGTCAGGACCCTGCAGGATACTGGCACAAATAAGCGCTCTTGTACCAAAAGAGCTGGCTACGTACGCGAAAAGGAAGAAATTCCCAAGCTCTTAAAGACACCTCCAGTGTCAATATTTATAAGAACAAGGGAGAACGGTCAGACTTTAGCAACTACCGTGGGATCTCGCTGCTCTCCGCAAATGGCAAGATTATTGCCCGAGTCTTCTTAAACAGACTCCTTCCTGAGGCGGAAAACTTCCTTCCAGAATCTCAATGTGGTTTTATTCCATCACGTGGTCCCACTGACCTGATCTTTGCTGCCCGACAGATACAAGAAAACTGCAGAGAACAGCCTCGTGACCTGTACATGGCTTTCATCGACCTAACCAAGTCCTTCGACTCGGTCAATAGGGAAGCCCTTTTTGGACCCTCAGCCGTTTTGGCTGCCCACCAAAATTCATCGCCATTGTGAGGCAACTCCATGATGATATGAACGGCAGTGTCCTGTATAACGGTACCCAGTCTGAATTCTTCCCCATCTAAACAGGGGTTTGGATGGGGAAATGTCTTTTTCCTTTTCTTGGCTGCCTTCCTTACTCGTGACAGTGCCAATTTAACCGGCGGGGCGGACATCGAGAACCGGGAGAAGGGGGTGGGGGTCTAGGCAAGAACAAAAGTGTAGGCAGCTTCCATTACTGAACTTTAGTATGACGACGACCTCACCCTTGTTGCTCACACTGAACACGACCTACAGAAGATCCTGAACACCTATGCAGATGCGTATGCACACTTCGTCCTTGAGGCGCATGTACTCAAGGCTCAGATTCTCTTTCACCCTGCCCCTGTTTCAGACACACCTCCACCATCCATCCAGCTTAACGGTACTACCCTCTTTAATGTTATCCACTTTCGGTATCTCGGCTCCCACCTGCCCTCCACTGCAGACATTGATGAAGAGATTCAGCATTCGGATCAGATGTGCATCTCAAGTCTTTGGCAGACTCCGAAACCGTGTCTTCAGCTCTAGGGAGATGAAACTATCTACAAAGCTGCACGTATACCGAGCAGTTTGTCCTCCCTACCATGCTATATGGCAGTGAGACATGGGTCACATACTGGAGGCACCTCAAGGCACATGAAAACTTTCACCAGCGTAGTCTACGTTCCATCCACCGAGTTTGATGGGAAGACAAGAGAACAAAAGCCAGTATTTTTGCTGATACCAAAGGTAGGACCATCGAGGCTACCATTATCTATGAACAACAACGCTGGACTGGCTATGTTACCCGCATGGACGACAGTAGACTGCCAAAGGAACTGCTTTACAGTCACCTAACGAATAGTAAGCGTAACGCCGGCGGGCAATTGAAAAGGTATAAGGACAGTCTTAAAACAAACCTAAAAATGTGCCAAATCGACCACCTCACCTGTGAATCGATTACTCCGCATCGTAACGCTTGGGTTAGTACCACACGAGAAGGTGTCAATACTTTCGAGTTAGCCCGACTGCAAACCGAGGCAGACAAGCGCCAACGCTGGAAAGACGCTACCACCGACCCTCCCGCACTACATGCATCCCTCCACGTGCAAACCAATGTGGACGACCCTGCGGGTCCCGTATCATCCTGTTTAGTCACCTCAAAACTCACCAACCTAGGTGACAAACTTAATAATTCATATCATTGTATCATAGCTGGATATTCGTCATACTCGATTCCGTGTGACAGCAAAGTAGTAATAGTTGTGTGTGTGTGTGTGTGTAATAATAATAATAATAATAATAATAATAATAATAATAATCAAAGGCTTATTGAAAAAGTTCTGCAGCCCAAAGGCTGAAAATATACATTGGACAAAAATAACTTATTTCATACAAAGACATGGGGAAGGTGGGTCGTTTAGCAAAACCTTCCATTACTGAAAGAAGATGGAACATGAATTGAACATACAAATTATTATAGTTTACAGTTGATGGCCTGGGCCTGAGCTGGTCATTGAGACACCAGGTGGTGTGGTGTTCACGTGGTGTAGTAACTCGTCCTCGGGTGTTGATATGAAGGACCTTACGTGTGTGTGTGTGTGTGTATGTATGTGTGTGTGTGTGTGTGTGTGTGTGTGTCTATTTTTTGTCTGCAAACATTGCATTCCATATATATATCGTGTCCATGAACAAACAGTAATAGTAGTAGTAGTAGTAGTAGTAGAACACCCATGGAGTCAAGCATCACTGCAACTACATGATGCACACTATCCCTGATATCGGACCCCTCCTCCACCCTCTGGAAGAAGCTATCAGCATCATTTTCATTCCCAAATTAGTGAGACACCCTCACTTAACCCCTGCAGAAAGAGCACTCCTTGTACTACCACCGAGACTGGGAGGAATGGGATTGACCAATCCAGAGGAGATTGCTGCCACCGAACATCAAAACTCAGTTAAGCTCACGGCAGCCCACACAGACCATATAATAGCTCAGAACGCAACAGGGGAGGTGGATACCAGTGAAGTAAACAAGATTAGAAGGTCCATTACGACAGAACGACAGCACATCCAAAGTGATAAGTTCCAGCAACTGATGCTGCAAGTAAAGAGAATTTGAAAAAAAAGTAGCTATAGCGCAGGAGGTGGGCACCTCGAACTGGTTAATTACGTTACCGATAAGGGGAAATGGTTTCAGTCTCAATAAACAAGAATTTACAGATGCCAATGCTCTAAGGTACAGTAGGCCAGTAGAAGGTTTGCCCTCCAAATGCGTGTGTGGCTCTTCCTATGACGTCGATCACGCCATGGTGTGCAAGAAAGGGGGCTTCATATGCATGGGGCATGACGAAGTAAGGGATCTTACAGCAAATATTTTGAAGGAAATCTGCCATCATGTCAGGGTAGAACCGACCCTCCTTCCATTAGAAGGTGAGAATTTCCAACATAGGACTTCAAACACATCCAACGAAGCCTGTGTTGACGTCAGTGCTCAAGGATTCTGGACGCCGGGACAGTGAGCCTTCTTTGACATCAGGATTTTTGATCCCATGGCCACATGTCACCGTAACTTAGCTCTCGATGCTGCACACAGGAGGAACGAAAACGACAAGACAAGAGCATACGGGGAGAGAATTGAGAACGTTGATCAAGGCAGCATTGTAAAGGCCTGGGACTTAGGGATATGAATCCCTTACCAGCCTAACCAGGATCTTATAAAAGGAAAGTCAAGAACCATGGTTTTCTTAGGGATAACAAACAACCGTTCGAGATTGACATCTCTTTACTATAAAAAAAATACAAAACTCTGACACCACTCAAACAAACATCAAATAACAATTACAGGAGTCAAACAATTATGAGAATCAAACAATTAATGGACTCAACAATTAATGGAATCAAATAATTAACGGGAGTCAACAATTAAAGGAATCAAATAATTAACGGAAGTCAACAATTAATGGAATCAAACAAATAAGAGAATCAAACAATTACAGGAGTCAAATGAACAGATATTTCCTACGGCAGCGGCCCTGGGGAAGGTTCTGGAAAGCAGTAATCCACTCTCAGGGGGAAGGTCAATGCAGCTCCTCACTCGAGCGACGGCGGCCGATGTCTTGCTACACAGGAGAAACACCAGGGCACAGAAGGTGGAGAGGAACTGGCGATGACGTGGCAGCCGCGGTAGTGATTGGGGTAGGTATCCGGAGATTGACAGACGATTTGTGAAGGTCTGGGGAAACATCCCACGAGTCCAGAGCCTCAGATGAGAACACAACTAGAATTTGGACGAGCAGCGGGGAGGTGTAGCTGTGGTGCTCACTGGGTAGTGCCTGCCCTCTGTGAGAGGCAGCAGTGACGTTCTCACCTCCGTCTAATTGGGGGACGCGAACAAGCAAGCGGGTGGCAAACAATTATCCTGCTCGTTACCGCCCTTACAAGCATCACTCCTCTATTGTTCACAACCTCCTGTGGGATCTAACCAAGTGCAAGATGCTTCTGCGCCAGACTCGCGGTGGTGGTATCCGAACAGATGCAGCAGCCCAGAAGTTATGTTACTGCCTGGATGAGATGCTCGACTGTCCTTCTCTCTCCTTAGGTCGGCTTTGCTCTGCCTCAGGGAAACGAGAGCATCCGCCCCAAAGCCGACAACAGATGCAGATATTGACTATGAGGCTACAGTCACTGAGTGCCACATAGATCTGCAGCTCAACTAAATCAACTCAGAGAGACAGACAGCTTTAATCAGAATTTTAGGTAAGGATGGTTTGATAAACTTATTTTGTGTAAAATGGGGTGCTGATTTAAAGAAAGAAAAAAGCAGTCTTATTGACCCCACGTAATACAAAACTGCCATTTTAGCCACTTTTCGGCCAAATTGTACCATATTTGGCGAAATTATCTTTGTCCACATTTGGATGTTTTCATGATCTGCATCTATGTTTAAAGGGTAGTGAATCACATAATATAGGTGGTCCAGCTTCAAAGTTAAGGGATTCACATACAACATGGTATTTTGATCTCTTCTGATATTGTTTTCTGGCTTGATCTACATCCCCAGCTGTTATCCATGTCTGTTCAGTAATTGGAGTAACTGCATCACCATCATGTTCTGTATCACTGCTCGCCTACAGCACATATTGAAAAAACATCTCTATACCATCATCCATCGGCAACGAAAACACACACATATTAGTACTCGAAAATGAGAGTTTACCCAATGTGGCCACATTAGCCAGATTTAACACACACATAGTAAATATCTCATACCATTTGATGTAGTGTATCGTATAAAATGACGGTGATACGTGCAATCTGTTCTTACCATGGAAATGCACATTTGGCCAATGTTGGTCGAGAACTTACCAGAATTGGTCAATATTGATCACTTTTTCAATAAATATTGTATAAACAACCAATATTATGTGACTCAATCCATTTAAACATAGATGTACATCATAAAAACATCCAAATGCGAACAAAGAGAATTTCGCCAAATTGTACATTTTGGCCGAAAAGTGGCCAAAATGGCAGTTTTGTATTACGTGGGGTCATTAAGACTGCTTTTTTTGGGGGGGGGGGGGATCAGCACCCTTTTTTACATAGAATAAGCTTGTCAAGACATCCTTACCTATAATTTTGATTGAAGATGTCTGTCTGTCTGAGTATACTGTTTGTATACCTGCTCGGCCTACGCACTGTACTACTGTACTGTTTACATGTGTTTTCTAGTTTATTTACATGATGAGCTGTATACCTACATTGTCTATATATATATATATATATATAGGCATAACTATGTACCTGCAGTGTCTATATACAAGCCAAACCAATTGTAGATTTGTGTGGTGATTTTACTGAATAAACATCTGTCTATCTATCAATCTATCAATTTTGAGCTGTTTTGGATGACTGATAAGGGTGAGCCAGGAGTCCTGACTCACCCATATCAGTCAGCCAGGAGAGGAAGGATAATGAGGACAGTAGAGTAGTGACGACAGTGGTAGAGGAACGGCCCAGCTGGTGGAGAAATTTGGAGCTGACACCACTATAGAAGAAGAAAAAGAAGGTGAAGTGGCAAAACAATATTGAGCACAAGAGAGCATTCTTATTTTTCGTTTCTTCCTTCTTGTTTTACAGAAAATAACTCGAAATTACTTGATTGAGAAATATAAGTAATCTCCCCTGACACCTGTTATCACCAGCATTCAAGAAGAAGCAAAGAGAGACGCGAGTAATTCCTTGCACCACTTTTGAGTTTGATTGAGTTTGTGTAAGCGATAATTTCAAGCCATCAGATACTTACCTCCACTCTCCCTCTTAAGGTTTCAGCCCGTCTTGTGGAGGCGTAATTCAGGTTATTGGTTTCACGAGAAAGGTGTTTGATAAGAACCGAAACTAGAATGATGACTTATGCACCAACAACGGCCACGCCTTGATTGAGAGAGCTAGACGTATTTTATTTTTTAGTTCTGATCTCATATGCTATTTTTCCTTGACAGTGTACTGCATATTAATATTTCAACAGTTAAGTTTTGACATATAATGAATTCGTTGATACTCATGTCAGTCCTTCAACACATGAGTATAGAGATATAAAAGGTCAAGAAAACCTATAATCAATAAATGGATAATTATACAGAACGAGGAACAGGCATAATGCATCCGGAAAATATATATAAAATCAGTAAAAAGAAGAAAACCAGGTGATGGCACTGATAAGAGGCCTTTTTGAGCTCGTCAGACTAAATCCAGATTAAAAGATAAAGAAGAAAACAGAAAAACGAGCCGCGTATTGAGGAAAGTATCTCGTAATCCCTAAGATAAAGATGAATCTAACTAGCTCCTGTAGACTAAACTACCGTAGGGATATCTTCCATAATGGCATCAAAAGCACGCTGAAACTCTGCCAACTTTTTTTTGTGAGAAATAATGACGTATATTTGACTCATACGTGTATAGTCAATGGTACTTACTTTCTTTGGGTCCCCTGAATCTCTCTGCCTACAGTAAGTATACCTTGTAGATAGTGATAGAAGGTGGAGATTTAGAGAAGGGGGAGAGTTGTCCAATGCCTGGTGAGGTTAGTTCTCTCTCTCTCTCTCTTATATGCTGTGAAATCCACTGGTATGTGGATTCATATGAAAAGTACGAGTATATAAATGGATTTTTAATTTCCGGAGAGATAGAAAGGTAGAAACACACTTTGACAAATAGATAAACAGACATGTGGATTGATAAATAAATAGACGAACAGACAGAGAGCTAGACAAACAAATAGATAGACAGACAGATATATAGACATACTGTACAAGTACAGACACACCTCTGAATGTAACGGCTGGCTGTTGCTCCATCCAAGATGGCGTGCCTGTTGAGGGAGTTTGTACTGTATTTGAAGACGTACACACGCGCAAACACACTGAGTCAGTCAGAGTTGTTGACCACATGTTTTTCAGATTTCAGATTGTCCCCGGGAAGGGGCACCCCTTTGCATCCGGTGCAAGGCTAAGAGCTAAGGCGATTACAGCGCCCAACAGGGAAGCATACGGAGTTCATGCTTGCCTTCTTGACTCATGCATTTAAGGGCGTAAGTGCCTGAAGGCCCAGTTGTGAGGGCGATCGAGGTCAGTTGGGTCGGGCTGTTCACTCTGCTGCTGTTTACGTCACCACTGGTTGTTTGTCGCCTCACTTGGGAGAGGCTGCTTAAAAGTCTAAGCAAGTGTGGTTTGATTGCTTGACGATGACTTCTCACTGGGGAAGCTTGATTGCTTGAGGCTTTAAGCAAATGTTGCTTGGTTGTTTGATTCTTGAAGATTCTTGGTTGATTTTCGAAATTTTGAAATGCTGATTGCTCGCTGTGAAGGCTTGATTTGTTCTGAATCTTCTGAATTCTAGATTATTAAGCTTAAATAAGGAATTACAAGCTTGATTCTTCAAGTATGAGTTGATTGGCGACATTAAAGAATTGCTTTGTCTTGATTCTGAAATCATGTGATTCGTAATACTTTAGATTTATGATGGATCTGTTTATCTTAAGTGATATGGCATTACACTCATGTATGTATGTATGTATGTATGTGATGGTGCTTACGGTAGCACCAGCGTCTTACACCTAATATTTTCATCTAACACACACGGCAAAACCTCAAACATAACAAACCCTACCGACGTCACACTCCGCCATCTTCGATACCTTCTTAGGCTAAACCCAAATATACCTTCTCTTGGCAGGCGGAGGCAGCGGAGGCAGTGGAGAAGGCGGCATTGTGTGCGAGCCCGGGTGGTTCCCCTGCGACACAGAGGTCAAGTGTGTGGAGAGGAGGTTCATCTGTGACCGCTATTATGACTGTCCAGACCGAAGCGACGAGTGGAACTGTAGTAAGTGATTTATTTTTTGTTTTTATAACTGGTGATAGCGATGGAAGAGTTGTTATTTGTGGACAAAGATAAAGGTAAGAATAATGGAGTAGTGAAGAATAACTGAATAAGGAACATAACATAAGAACATAAGAATGGAGGAAACTGCAGCGGGCCTATTGGCCCATACTGGGCAGTCCCGTTTACACCCAACCCCTATTGCTCATATAAGCATCCAACCTATGTTTGAAGCTATTCAGCGTATTCGAGTTAATGATGATATTTGGTAACTTGTTCCATTCATCCACTACTCTGTTTCCAAACCAGTGTTTACCTATTTCCTTCCTAAATCTAAATTTGTCTAATTTAAAACCATTGTTACGAGTTCGCTCCTGGTTGGATAGTTTGAGTACCTTTGTAATGTCCCCTTTGTTTAGCCCTGCCTTCCACTTATACACCTCGCTCTACGTCTCTCGAGGGAGTGCAAATTAAGATGCTTTAACCTGTCTCTATACTTAAGGTTCCTAATGACCGGGGTTAGTCTTGTCATTCTCCTCTGAATTCTTTCCAAGGTTTCTATATCCATTCTGTAATACGGTGACCAGAACTGAACTGTGTAATCCAGGTGTGGTCTCACAAGAGCAAGATACAGTTTTAGGATGACCTCGCTAGTCTTGTAACTAACAATCCTTTGTATGAACCCAAGTACTTTATTAGTCTTGTTATGAGTAAAAACACATTGTTTACTTGGCTTAAGGTTCCTACTTATCATTACTCCTAAATCTCTCTCACAGTCGGATTTCTCTATGGCATCGTTGTTCATCTGGTATCTGGTTTCCCTGTTTACATCTCCTATACTGAGTACTTTACATTTGTCCACCTTGAATTTCATCTGCCATTTTTCAGACCATTCGAAAAATTTGTTTAGATCTTCCTGTAGTTTTGCTGAGTCCTCGTCAGATTTAATAACACGTCCTATTTTAGTGTCATCAGCAAATTTACTTATGTTGCTGTCTATGCCGATATCTATGTCGTTTATGTATATAATAAATAATAATGGTCCAAGTACTGAGCCTTGGGGAACTCCATTTGTGACGTTGCTCCAATGGGACTTAGTGCAGTTAATGCTCACTCCCTGTTTCCTGTCCTGTAACCACGCCCTAATCCATTTAAGGATGTTACCTTTGATGCCATGAGCTTCTACCTTTCTAATTAGTTTTTCGTGGGGGACTCTGTCGAAGGCTTTGCTAAAGTCGAGATATACCACATCATAATTGTGCCCCTCGTCCACCTATTCGAAAACTGATGAAAAGAATGTTAATAGATTAGTTAGACAAGAACGTCCGCTTGTGAAGCCATGCTGGGAATCATTGATCAATCGGTGCTTCTCCAGGTGATTTCGAATAGAGTTTAAAATGATTGCTTCCAGTAATTTGCCTACTATTGATGTTAGACTGATTGGGCGGTAGTTAGAGGATAGTGATCTATCCCCCTTCTTGAAAATCGGTATTACATTTGCTATCCTCCAGGATTCTGGTACTACACCTGTTTTTAAGGACATGTTAAACAACTTTGCTAGGGGCATACTAAGCTCTTCCTTACATTCCTTTAATACTCTGGCAAATATCTCATCGGGACCAGGTGACTTATTAGGCTTTAGTTTGTCTATTTGCTTACTAACATCGTTACTAGTCACTACTATCTCGCTTAATTTGATTCTTCACTATCTCTGAATAGAGTCGGTGCCTCGTGTTTTAGTTTGATACATTTGGTAGAATCCTTTGGTGGTTTATCTTCGCCTCCCTTGCTATCCTTACCTCATTATTCCTCTTTGCTTTCCTTATCTCGGTTTTAACCCTACTCGCCAATACCCTATAATAGTCCCGGAGGTGAATTTCGCCACGATTTATCCTTCTACCTATAGCCTTCCTTTGGCCGATGATGTTCTTTAAATAAATATTTATCTATTTACGGTCATTGTTGTCTGATCTGAGTTTTTTGTATGGTATGTTCTGCCTTTGTGCATTAAGTAACTCACTATTTAAATTGTCGTGGAACTCGGCAATCTCAGATCTCGTTATCAGGTCGGTGTCATCTGTCAAGTTCACGGCCAAGCGCGACACCCCCTCTCTCAGCTGCCTCTTTAAACTGTCAAAGTTCGCCCTTCTGAAATCTGGTACTTTAGTGGAATTTTCCTTACGTCTGCCCTGAAACTCTAACTGGAATCTAATTTCTTTGTCACCGCTGTTTGCAAGTTCGTTCCCTACCTAGACACTGCTAATGAGGTTTTCTCTGTTTGACAGAACTAAATCGAGTATATTATTACCCCGTGAGGGTTCAGTTATATGTTGACTTAGAAAACAGTCCTGGATCGTCTCGAGAAAATCCTCTGATTCTGAGTTACCTGTAAGGTCAGTCCAATCTATTTGGCCAAGGTTAAAGTCGCCTACGATACAGACTTTGTTGTGTATGGAAGCCCTGCGCATTTCCTCCCAGATAAGTCGCTCATTGACTCTATCAAGATTGGGAGGTCTATATATTACTCCTGTGATTAATTTTTCCCTACCGTCGATTAATTCTATCCAAATTGTTTCTGTATTCCGCTCAGTTTTTATTTCCTTATTTATTTCACACTTCAGATTATCCCGAACATAGATTGCTTCCTCGCATCCTTTCGGTTTTAACTAGGGTAGAATTCTGCACCGTTTTCGAGACCTTCTCGTTGTGTTACATTTAAGGAGGAAGACCAGGCAAGGAAAGAATAAGTGAGTTTAGGAAGCATGAATGTTGAGTAAGCACTGAAGAGCTCAACAATTGATCATGACTATAATATATTCACTATTATACTACATAAAGCACAAGAACAAAATATACCACACAGAAAAATTAGGTCAAATAAGAATGAGCCAAGGTGGATGACCAGAAAACTTAAACATGACATAGGAATAAAGAAAGGAATATATAAGAAATTAAAGGGAGGGGAGGAGCAGCTCAGAAACAGGTATAATGAACTATCTAGGAATGTTAAGAAAAATGTAAGGAAAGCAAAGAGAGACTATGAAATCAAAATAGCAAGAGAATCCAAGGCGAATCCCAAGGGATTTTTCCAGGTATATAGGACAAAGGTCAAGGACAAAGTTGGGCCTTTAAAGTCAGGGAGGGGAGAATTGATAAATGGCAGTGAAGAAATAAGCAAAACATTGAACAGCTACTTCTTATCAGTTTTCACAGAAGAAATTTGCTATGAAATTCCGAAGGTGGAACTGATATTTAAGGGAAAGGAAGAAGGGAAATTAAAGAATATCACTATCAGAAAAGAGGATGTTCTTAAGAAGATAAATAAACTAAAGAATACAAAATCCCCAGTGCCGGATTAAATTTTTCCTCGAGACTTAAAAGAGTGTAGGGAACAGATTAGCGGACCCCTAGTAAACTTATTTACAAAATCATTAGACACTGGAGTTATGCCAGAGTTGAGGAAACAGGCAAATGTAGTACCCATATTCAAAAAGGGAGACAGAGCATCAGCGTCAAATTACCGGCCGATCAGTTTGACGTCAGTAGTGGGGAAATTTCTTGAATCAATTATAGCAGATAGCATCCGATCGCATCTAGAGAAAAGCAAATTAATCTACGACTCTCAACATGGGTTTACAAAGGGAAAATCTTGTCTAACAAATCTGTTTTTTAGGAAAGTCTTCGAGGTAGTAGATAATGACGAAAATTACGATGTTATTTACTTAGACTTTAGCAAAGCATTTGACAGAGTACCGCATCAGAGGCTTCTGAGAAAAATTAAGGCTCATGGTATCGAGGGGAAAGTTTTAAATTGGATAAAATCATGGCTCACCGATAGAACACAGAGGGTCAGCGTAGATGGTGTTAAATCTGAGTGGGACCGTGTAACCAGTGGGGTTCCCCAGGGGTCAGTACTAGGCCCACTCTTGTTCATAATCTACATAAACGATTTAGATACTGGGATCAGCAGTGACATAAGCAAGTTTGCGGATGACACCAAAATAGGGCGGCAAATTAATTCAGGGCAGGATGCAAATGCATTACAGGAGGATCTCAATAAACTGCAGGGGTGGTCTGAAAATTGGCAAATGAAATTCAACACCAGCAAGTGCAGCGTACTTAATATTGGAAGAACAAATGCTTATAATGTATACAGCCTAACAACATCAACCTAGAGAAGTCGACTTGTGAAAGAGACCTAGGGGTACTTGTAAGCCCGGACCTACGGCCTAGAAAACAGTGCGTTAATGTTCGAAATAAGGCAAACAGAGTATTGGGTTTTATATCTAGAAGTGTAAGTAACAAGAGTGCAGAGGTCTTATTGCAACTATATCTTGCGCTAGTTAGGCCGCATCTCGATTATGCTGTTCAGTTCTGGTGCCCCTATTATAGAATGGATATAAATTCACTAGAGTCGGTGCAGCGAAGAATGACAAAAATGATTCCGGGACTTAGAAACCTTCCATATCAGGATAGGTTAAAGAAACTTAACTTGCATTCCCTAGAAAGACGAAGAGTGCGGGGAGATATGATAGAAGTATTTAAATGGGTGAAAGGAATCAATAAAGGGGATATAGATAAAGTTCTTATAATATCCGAGCAGGATAGGACTCGGAGCAACGGATTCAAGTTGGATAAGTTTAGGTTTAGGAGGGAGATAGGAAGAAACTGGTTCACAAATAGGGTGGTGGACGAGTGGAACAAGCTTAGCAACTTTGTAGTAAGTGCGGGAACTCTGGAAAGTTTCAAAAGGAGGCTAGATCGATTCATGGATGATAGAGAGTGCCAGTAACTCTCGACAGGAGCTGCCATGCACAGGCCAATCGGCCTATTGCAGACTCCTTATTTTCTTATGTTCTTATGTAACTCCGAGGGACTTGAGACGACGGAGGAAGTAGAAACGAAACTGGAACATTTGACAACTGCACTGACGTGCGCTTTCTAACTCAGTTTTTTATCTATAGTGACGCCGAGGAGCTCGGTGGAGTCCACAACCTGGAGTG